TTAAAATGCTCACGAGGAATTTTTAAGGTCCCGGATTTATTATTTATTATTAGGGTGGGTTTTATTAATATGTGGAAGGGATTACAAACTTCAAAATGAGATACCTCTGCTCCTCCTTCACCCCCTGTATTATAAGAGCATGCAGACAATGCCTTGCAATTCGAAATTCGGTTAATGCCAAGGAGTACCTTTGCCCCAGCAGCATGACTTGTTGGCAGAAAAATGAGTTGTCCGTCCTTTGACTCTGAGCACTGTTGCGCCACAAGCTTGCACTTTGGCTAGCTAATTATGCAGTCTTACATGGTTGGTGTTGGGCCACAATTTGTAGATGTTAGCTATTCTGCGTTTATCAGTACATTTGCGAAAAGCTCGCTGTCCTGTGAATCGCAACCTCACTAGCTTCCCCTGGCTAGCCAGGAAGATCCTAGTCATGTTTGTCAAGCAGCTTGCCACCGTGTGAATCAAGCTCTACCCGTGCTGGACATGAAAAATTGCTTAAACAGTTTGCCATCCTGTGACACCATAACCTGAGTCATTTCCCCTGGCTAACCAGGAAAATCCTAGTGACGCATGGTCCTTACGATAGAAGTACTTGAGTGAGTGAATTTGACGTTATTTCTTTGGTCTTGAGCCCTTGGCTAGCCAGGGCTTTTCAACAACAAGTTTGAGTTTGTGATTTGTTTAGTCTTGAGCCCTTGGCTAGCCAGTGCTTCTCAGCAACAGGCGATGAAGTTAGGAAATAGGGTTGAGTCTTAGGGTTGAGGGTTTTAGAGCTTAGGGTTTAAATTTAGGGTTGAAGGTTGAGGGTTTTAGGGCTAAGGGCTTCAGGTTGAGGGGTAGAGGGTTGAGGCTTTAGGGCTTGGGGTTTAGGGTGGCTACCTGGGGTAATGCTTGATTTCTGAAGGCCATTTCTCATGATCAAAGGGCCATTTCTCATGAACATTCTTTAAATTCCCTACTCGCCTGAGGCTCCAACTCTACGGAAGTGTGTGCCTTGCCACCGCCTGTTATGGACTGTCAAACACTGGCCTCAGCAAAGAAGGACGAGACAAGTTTCAGAGCGTGATTATCAAACAGTTGCGCATGGTCATAGGTGATCACTCTTTCCTTACTGGACACACACATGAGGAAGCCCTATCCAAGCATGAAGTAGAGGATCCACTTAAACGTCTTGACCGGCTTACCATGCAGCGCATCGACAAAGCTCGCAAAAATACGCACCTAATCCACTCTACGGCGCTGGAAGGGCGATGGCAGCAACTGCTGGACAAAACAGAGGCGCCGGTCACGGCACAGCCATAACAGGTGCGCAGGACAGCCACTAACCACCGAGCCCTGTGCGAAATCTGCGGACTCGCGTTCCAGGACCAGGCTGCCCTCAAGTTCCATCACACCAAGGTGCACCAGCAAGGTACAAAGGAACATAACAACTGGAGCATAAACAGCAAATGAGGGCAAGGGATGATGCTCACATGCAGCACTGTGTTGGAGGTCTCCCTCAATGCAAGCACTGCGGTCACCGCCTTTGTGTCCCACATTAGTAGGCAATGCTGCCCTGTCCTTCCAGCCGCAGGAGATGAGGGATCTTGAGCCGGACCCACCGCCGCTCTGTGTTCAGCAGCATGGCAGCGTCAAAGCCAGACTGCCTCAGCACAACGAGCGGCTCAAGACCCTACCAGCGGGGCCCAAAATCTGCCCGTATTGCCACCTCAAGCATGATCGAGGACGTGTCGAACAGACTGTGTCCCCAGCCCAGCCTGAGGAAGGACGAAATCGAGCAGGGCAGGAAGGAGATGCAAGTCTTCCGATCCATCACGGAGTGGCAACTCACGAAGCGGGAACGGGAGACGGAGGACGGCAAAGACGGAGGCCACCTCCCAAATCCCGCCAACAAGGAACCAAAGGCCAGGGCAGAGTCGGGTCAGGGGAGAAACCGCAATCAGGACATGTGCTGTTCCAGACGCCGCTGTCCGTGCTCCCCCAATTGCACCAGGTGGGGCAAAAGGACAAGGATGCATCAAGTCCTGGTTTGCCCCTGCGAGTAGTCCTGTTGGGCAGCCTCCTCACGGCGCTGAACACCAGAGTGGAGAAGGTGATGACGGATTCCCAAACGGCGGAGGACAGCAAGAAAGCTCAGCTCCTCAACGAAACGGGACACTTCGCCTTCCTGACCTACGACCGTGCAGGAAAGGTGTACAGCCCAATGCCGAACATTGCGCCGTGCAAGCCAGCGCCACTCCCGAGCTTGACAACTTCCTGCGCGGACTCCTCAGGACGTCGCGCAAGGCTCTGTGGTCGGACATCGCATGGTCCGCTTTAGCGCGTGGATGGGCTAGGCCCTCATCCCAGCACGACGTAGCAGAGTTCATCACCTTTCTAAGCGAGAGAGGACATTTCCAGCACCACGACTACTCAGGTGAGTGGCAATCAAGACGGCGCATGCAGGGAATTCAAGTGAGAGACCGGGGCCTCACTTGGCCGCTGCCCTTCCATCAAGTCTTATTCCCTCAGCAAGCCGTTGACGATCTTGTTCAAACTTGGCATGCTCAGGAGGGAACACATGCGCTGACTGGTACGCCGCTGTGCATCTTGCTCCAGCTGAACTGCACGGGGACTGAGGGGAACAGGCGCAATCACACTCCCATCAAGTTGGGAACATATGTTGAACTGCCTGTGTCTGCCGAGCCAGGACTCACTGGAAGTCTCCTGGCGCAGGTATCGCTTGAGCGCAGCCATCATCCACAGGGGTGAAAGCTTCACGTCTGGGCACTACCAAACTGTGACCTTCTGGGATCACCCTCCGCTCCCTGTGCCACTTGTAGCTGCTTAGGCCTTAGCCTGGCGCTACTTTTCTGTTTCAGTGTTGGCAGGAGTCAGGAGTAGCTTGCGTCACATAGGCCTTATTGGCCTTGTCTCAACTACGTTGGTACTCACCGGGCTATGTCGATATCTTTGAACTAGCTTTTGTGCTTTAGCTTTTGCGCTTTTACTCTGAGGTTGGTTGTTTTACTTAGCCCGAGTGGTACTTGCTTCGCTTAGCTTTTACGCTTTAGCTTTGCGTACTTACTCTGAGCTGCGTTTCCGGCAAAGTCAAAAGGTGAGAGAGCGTTGAGTAGCTGTAGCTGTCAGTGCTGTTAGCTTTAGCTGGGCTTTGCTTTGCTGCTAGCGCTGTAGGCGTAAACTTGTGTGTGGCTTTCAAAGTAATGAACCTTCTGGGTGATCATTTGTAGCTGCCCTGGTAATAAAATGCCTCGGCGTGGCAGCTAGATCCATATTCTGAGAGATGGTAGTCGCCGGTGTTGCCTGAGGAACTGAGTTGTCACTGGGGGGTAATAGGCTCTGCGCAACTCTGGGTATTGCGCCGCAAGGATGTAATGCAAGGAGCGGACGTTGACCGCTGCA